TATAACCAAGAAACTACTACCATTGTTTATAGGTCATATAGTTATCCCTCAAATTAAGCAAACTATACAACTCTGAAAGTCAACACTGGTTAGCTCAAAGTCAGAAAACAAAAATGACAAAGAAACAATGAACCATCAAAGAAAATACAAAGGAGTGGAGTTAATTCCTCTGTTCATTAAGTTCTTCTAAATTAAAAATACCCAGTCATTCACAGGTCAGACTCAAGTAGCAACCCAAGAACACAGTATATTCATTCTTGTTCTCTCATTCTCTCTCCCCACTATTCCTACCCCTCCATATTCATTCCCATTCCTTCCTTTCCCCTCTCTGTCTCTTTCCAAGTATGTATCTTGTCCTTACTTCCCCTCAGTTCTTCAGTAGGTTCCTAATCTATCATATGTTCTTTTTGAAAAAGAGAATTATGTCTATAATATTTTCACTGTTAACAATTAACATATTACAGTTTCATCTAAAGTATTTCAAATTATTTTGATCTCAACCTACAGTAGGAAATACAAGAATAAGAAATATAAGAAAAGAATGTTTTACATAACAATATTTTTTTCTACATATAATGTACTTGATATTTTCCATTTTAGTCTATTGAATTTTTTAAATGCTGATTAGGCCTAGTTAAATTGATCTTAAAACCTATCACAACTAGCAGGAAAAACCATTGAGCTATATGCACAACAAACTGCCAATAAATGTAACAACGGAGAAAAAGGTTGGGGAAAAAATTTTGACTGCCACAGAAGAGTACTACAATAAAATATTAATATAAGTTAATTCTTTTATCCTAAAATAGCCTGGGTTTACTGTGTAATTGTATTCGAGTCCTAAGAAGTATGGGCCCTTTCATAAAATTTATAACAAATTACTTGTTTTGATACTGCTATGCTAAGGTATGCCTTACATTTCCACATGAAATAAATATATTTCTAGAATTCTTAAAGTGTTAATCCTAACATGCTCTTTTGACTCACAAAGCAATATTTAATAAAAAAAAGTTTGTGTTCCTAAAAACATTAACTAATGAATATCAAGTTGTTACAGTAACCAATACCATCTGGCAACTACCTCTAGGTGTGATTTCTTGAGAGACAGAGAGAAAAATAGAAGAAGGAGAAATGTTATAATAACAGCCACCACTTACTGAACATGCATCTACTATGTGCCAACATTGTGTTGGATAAAATTATTATACTATTCACTAACATTCTTAGACTAGAATAGCATATCAGGTGGCTAGTAAAAAGGAAACAAGTGCCTAACTAACATTTCTGAAGACATTTATAATGATCCTAATCGAGACTTAAATAAAAATAAATGTTATCATCGGTATAAAATAAGCATTTTGATAATTTGGTATCATTAGTGAATTCTACTCAGGAAAAGCTAACAATGAGGAACAGCAGAGACGAACAAGGAACATATCATAGAAAAGATTCAGATCCTTCTAATCAAGCCATCATCACCCCCACTTAATTAACCCACACAGAAAAAAAAGTGAATAGCTTTAAAATTACTCTGAAAAAAAGTTTAAACCATAGTACCTGCTGATGTGCTCCTGTAATAAGCTTATTAATCAGACTATGTTCTGTGTATATACATAAAATCTGAATAAGCTATAAAATTAGTTATTTAATGATAATTTGTATGAAATATTACAAAGTTCAAGATTCAGAAAGCATCAAAAAAGATTTATCCACATACAGCCTTGCACATTTCTTTTGTATTGAATTATATTATCTTACATTTATTTTTTTAAGTAAATTGGTAAAGAATTCCCTAAAATTCCAATTTCCTACTTCAAAGTAAGGAGTAGCCAATTCAATGAATAATATACTCATTTAGTCATTAATAGCAAATTAGTTTCTAATGTAAAAGTTATTTTTACTTCTATAATTCCACTGTAACTTTTTCTAGAGTTATACTATTGACATCCAAACTATTATTTTATAAACAAACATACAAACCATAATCATTTCAACAACTTAAAAAACAAAGAAGACAAAAAGCATAGTCTTTCAAATCTTATTAGCTACAACCGGAAAATAACACATATTATTAAATTTAAAAGTGATCTATGGTCTTAAGGCACTTTTATCCCCTTGCTCTGGTGCTCACTGGCCTAATCCCTTCTTCCTCTCTTCTGCTCTAGTTATTTCCTCCCTGAAGCCATCAGCACCAAAAGCAAGGAATGCTGTCAAAGAAAAACAACACATCTGACTTTAAATTGTCAGTTTTCTTATTGTTATGATATTATTATGAACAAAACATTAACTGTACCAATATAAAAGTGAAATGGACCATAACCAGGAATAAAATGAAATTAATGGAAATGAAGCAATACAGGCAGTTAGAATCTTGGCTGACCTCACTGTAAAAGTAACCTATTATCAGCATAAAAATAGGAGCATCTAGCTGAAACTTTCATTAATATAAATTCTGAACACAAATATATAATACAGAATATTTAACTATATTGATCTCCCATTGCAAATATTGGGTCTTTTGAACATTTGAAAACCCAAAATTTTTTGAATTACTAAAAATCAAACTAAAAGCTGTTATCACTAAGGCAAATCTAAATTATCAAATTTAACCCCAACAACAGTCCCTATAAATTTCCATCAAAGACCAAAAAATAATGTTTGAAACATTAAACTGAGGTCAATATGGAAACATCTTTTATCTAGTTTAGATTTTGTTTTTCATATAATGTTAGGTAATGAGAACAAAATAGGACATTTCCTCAAAACATAGTAATCAATTCATACATGATGAACAGCTGGTATATTTCAATACCTAAATGAAAAAAAAGACTGGCATTCTCAACCTAAATTCTCAAATATCTTAAGGATAGTAAATAATACTACTCATGACACACTTCTTGACGGCTTTTCCATTCTTAACTTTCCTTTCTTACCCAAACTTCTGCGGTTCATAACCTCCACTTTCATGAACTCACATTCAGACTTAAAAATGCCTAAGACTTAACAGACACTGTCTAGCCCTAAAGTATACAAAATAATTTCTTAAAATTCTCTATTATTTTGTTCTCTATCCTGAAAAACAATAGTTTACTTAAGAAACCGTACATTTTTATTACACCACATATCAGACTTCTAAAAAGACAAAATGTGAAAGGTACTACTAAAATCTAATTTACCTTAAATCGTGAAAAGGCCCTGGTTTGGAATTATTTAAAATATATTAATAAAAATAATATATATTCAGCCAAACACTTATTTGATTTTTGGCTTATTTGGCTTATAAAAATATATAAACAAGGTGTTTTGTACATACAGAAGAAAAGATATTTAATGGAAAATATAAATTATTCTGATAACACAGCAAAATATCTCACAGCATAAAACTATTATGTAAATTCTAATAACCAGAAGGTAATGGAGGATATCATTTCCTTTTATCATAAATCACTTATAAAATTATATTTACTACTGGTACTTACAAACAGTTCTCCCTTAATTTTACAGATAAGAAATTAAATGACAATCATAATCACAGACTAGAGTGTCACTATGGAACCATAATTTAAGAACTCAAATTCCAACTCTATAAAGTATCAAATCTTTTAATTCTTAAAACATTTCTAAAGTTATGAAACATGAGATGTAAAACTACATATGCTTTATAACATATTTTACTCTCCACATAAAAGATGTGTAATCAAAAAACCAGCACCAAAGCCAAAACTGTCTTACTCTTAAGAGGGAAATCACTTAAAACATGGTTTAGATTTCTTACATTCCCATTATAAGTCTGGTAGTCTGTTTTTTAAAATCATCCTATTCACATTTACATATTTTTTTAAAACCTCATGACATCATGTTGCTAGAAATCTTCTGATACTGGCAAATTGAACAATTAAAGTTAGTACGTACAGGCATTCTGGAATCAGTTGTTTACCTGAGAAACTAATTTTTAATAAATTTCAAATCCAAAACAATGAAATAATCAGCACTTGACTTTTACTTCAAGAAAATAAAGCTTTACTTGGGAACAAAGATATTTTAGTATACAAATTTTCCAAAAAATTCAAATTATTTGTATTCTAAAGGTTACAAAATACTATTTGGCCAAAATCGTTCAAAAGCCACTATAGCTCTGGGTGAGAATGCGCACTTCTTCCAACAGAGAACTTCTGGACGTTAGAGTGCGCCCTGTGTATATATATAACATCAGAAGCTGAAGAACTTAAGCCAAGCTGCTCCAAGCTTGAAGGTCACATGGAGCATTTGCTCACATCACAGATCTATTCCACTAAAGTAAGTCCTCTAAATTACATCTATAAGAATGGAGCCAAAAATCTAACTAGTTTAGAATTAAATTAAATTTAGAGTAAAATCTAACTCAGTTGGGAGGTGCCATCAACAACTATCACATTTTCAAACTATGCCATTTTCTCTTACAAACATAACAATTTTTGGAAAGCCAATGATGAGCAGTTCCCTTTGCTTATTCTATATAGAGATGAAATAAAACCCACAGATCATCACCTTCAGGCTCCTGATGACCTAAGACAAACACAGATATTTTAATATCTCCTCCCATTTTGGGAATGATTTCCATAGTCTGGAAAGGAATGTTTCCACCAATAAACACCTTTCAATTTAATAGCTATTATACTGCCAGGCATTAGGCAACTGTGAGCAATAACCCATATTTTTGCTCATCACAGAATTTATTTAAAATCTCTTATTGTTGACCTAAAAACATACGTCCTTCATCATAAATTCCACATTAGCTAGGCCTTACTTAAGTCAAGGCAACAATTAAGTAGCATGGTTTTACTCCTGGGAAAATATTTACTAAAAACTAGGAAAAACACCTTGAATAATTGGTGTCTATTCTTGTACTGTGAATATATTTTTTTCTTTCATTACAGAGTAAAGAGTTTACTCATGATAACTCTATAACAGATCATAATGCCCATCTAAAGACTGAGTTTTTAAAAAAAATACAAACTTACCCCATTCTAGGTATTCAAGAATGTTCTTCTCTCTTCTCAATGGAGAATTATTGCATTCATCATAAAGGCAGATGAGTATATCCAGTAACGTCTCCACACTGAAGCACTGCCCATTGGTCTGAGCGGGCCCATCCAAAATAAACTGCTCCAACTGCCTCAAACGCACTTCTCCAGACATGTTTGCTTCAATTTCTGCTGGCTTTCCTTCAAATTATTATCACGATTTGTACTTTTATTATTTGAATCTAAATTTTAAAAGGTGTGGTTTTAAAAATAAACCACTTGTTATTCAAACAACTGTCACGAAATGCCGGTGCTGAATTAAACATCCAACAGACCAGTAACCTCACTTAACTGAAGCGTCTTCAATTTCACCCATATACACATATTTTGAGGGTAAATTACCATAAAATATATTTAATACATTTTAAAAAGAAAAATACAATTAAATCGTATATTTAAATAAAATAATAATTAAAAGTACAACGAACTAAAGAATCAACACTTCTTTAAAAAAAAAAAAAACTCTTCTCCTTCATTCAAAATTCAACTCGTGCAACACAATCCTGAAACGAATCCGGTTGCATCATTAATGAATAAAGTCCGATTTGCATCAGCAATTCACTTTCCGGGAAGAAGAAAAATAGAGGAGGAAAAAAACAGAATGTATAGAAGGGGGAGGGAAAACCAAAAATTTTGCTGCAAATCCTCCCAACCACCACTTGGATAATGCATCAGCGGCAATCTCTCCACTGGGAAAGGGACGGGGCGAGGTCCCCGAAGCAGCCCCTCGGCTCGGAGCACGCCAAGTCTGCCCGAAGGAGGCTTTTCCTTTCTCCTCCCGAGGTCCTTCTTTTTAAGGCTTTTCAGTTAGTCCTATTTTCAACGCATTCCGGAGAAAACTCGTCATTTTTCTCCCGGCTTCTCCCAGGGGCCTGACCCGCGGCGCGGCCGGGTGGGAAGGCGGGCTGCGGGCGGCACTCGCACCGGGCTCCGCGGCAGCGGCTACGCGGCCGCCCGAGCCCGCTCCATGTCGGTGGTCGCTCGCGGGCCGGGCCCGGCCGCGCCGCGCGGAAAGCCCGGTCTCCCACACCCGCACCGCGACCGCCGCGCCGGAGGCTCCCGATGCCCCAGGCGGGGGGTGCTCTTCTGAATTCAAAGGACACGGGCGGCAGCTGCGGCGGTACGGGCGGCTCCGGCAGCTACTTCTCCCCGGTCTTCACCGCCCTGGGCTAAGGGCATCTTTCCTCAGAGAGGAGGGAGGCGGCCGAGGCGCAGGAGGAGGGGTCGGCGCCTCCGGTGAGCAGACCAGAGGCTGCCGCAGCCCGGCTCCCAACCACTCCCTTCCTCCCCCTGCCTGCCCGCCCTCCCCCGCCGTCCCTCTCCTCTCGCGCTCGCGCCCGGGCTCCGCGAGGCTCCCCAGTCCGCGCCGCGCGCAGGCGGCGGCTCGCCGGAGCGTCCGGATCCAATATGGCGGCCCCCGCCCCCTCCCACGCGCGCGCACACGCCCTCTCCCCTCCGCGCGCCCCCGCCGGAGCGGGCGGCCCAGCCGGCGGCGACCTGCGGCCGCTCCCGCCTGGCCCCCGAGGGACGCGGGCCTGGGGTGCGGGCGCTGCCCCAGCCTGAGGGGCGGGGCGGGGCCGCCTGGGGCCGCGGCTGCCGCAGCGTGGAATGCAGGGATACGGGAGGACCGGGAGGCCGAGGCGGCGGCGGATGTGGAGGCGGGATGGCCGGGCCGGAGCCGCCGCAGGACGGGGCGCGGGCTGGGAACTGCGCCACGCCTCGCCGCCGTGCCTGGTTCCCCGAGGTACGGACCGCACCCCGGGGCTTCCTCCTCCTGCTCGGAGACACCACCTGTCCGGCACGTTTGCCTCGGGGGCCTGGAAGGAGCGGCTTCGGGCTCCCAGCAGATCTGGGAAAGATAGTGCCTTTCTTTCCGCCCTTTTCCTGCTCGCACCCGCCCCCCAAATTCGGTTCTCGCACACTCCAGAGTAATAATTTCTTGTGTGTCTAATTACAGCACTGCTTGTGTTATTTCCCAGGACAAAAACAATGACAGACTTGTATGCGCTATCACCTAAATCATGTGTGCGCGCAAAGGATAGAATTCCCATCTCTATTCCCAAAAGTTTTCCTATGTGGAGCTTCGTGTTTTCTCCTCCGGAACTGTTCTAGCTACTGCCTGTTTTTCCCAAGCCATGGCAACCACCTACAGGGGATTCAGCCTATGAAGGGAGTCCAGACAGGCCACCACTGTCATCCAACCTACACTCCCCGCCTTGCACACACACGGACTCATAACACAGTGGCACAATGCAGGAATCTGGGCAGCAAAGGCAAGTTACTGAGGAGCCAAGCACCTGATGCCTGTAGGACCCTTCCAGATTTTTGTGAGTCTCGGTTTTAGGAGAGGTCTGTTTACAAAATTCTCATGGAAGATCTTACATTTAAATTAATACCACAAAACTGGGTCATTGCATTTCTGTATTTCCTTTCAAAACTGCCGTCTCCTGTAATCTTTCTTCAAAATACAACGATTTTATATTCCTTTGCCGCACCTGTGGGGCAGTTGTTTTCTATGTTAATGCCCATGATTGCATCTTTTTACATCTCCATAATATGGAAGCTGAGGAAGAACTAGAAATGAAGGTCTAGACATAAAGTCTAAAAACGAAGGCTAACAGAAGTTGACTCTAGTTGTTGAGATTCGTAAAATATTGTGAATCTTTTGTGAAATCTACACTTGCCAAGTCCACACTTGCCTGTAACACAATAAGAACAGCAATTTTTTCAATGTGCTCTTGACAAGAGTGATAAATAGGTTCAGCCAAAAGGTCAGTCATTTCCAGCCATGACATCTTTAGGTGTGTGCATGTGTTGTCTAATTATAAAAATAACAGAAAAGCAAAAAGAAAAATTTAATCCTAACACAGATAATAATAAATATTTTGGTGTTTATTATTCAAGTCTTTTTCCTGTGCATTTTAACAAAAAAATGATACATAGTAAAGCAGTTTTATAGCTGTTTGCAATTAGCAATATATTATGAACCATCTTTTCAGGTTAACAAATGTTCTTCAATAATATGATCTTTAATAGTGAAGCCAACACTTTTAACAATTTTGTTGACCATGAGATGAAGTAGCAAGAAGGAAGCAATTTCTTCTGCTTTTTCAAGTCCAGTACACCAAAAGAACTGGCTCCAAATACCTACTTATCCACCTTACTCACATAAGTAACTATAAAGAAGTTTAAAAGAGAGAAACTAAAACATGTTAAGTTTCAATAAATGCTGATTAACAATGGGGGTACATGAGAAATAGATATGTTTTTAACAAAAGAGTCAAGCTACCAGCTCTCTACCTATTCTGTTAGCACTTGGGTACCACCCACAGTCCAGGGTACTGATGGTTGCTAAATAACCTTTTCACATTATTTAGAGAGTAGAGGGGAGAATTTATTTTTATTTTTAAAAAGGGGGCACAAAGAGAAGGAAGAAGGTTGAACCCAATTAATTTTGCTTGAATAATTCAAGCTCAGAGACTTAATAATTAACTAGACACTAAACACATTGTACGGGTGTTATTTTAAATGTTCCGGTTGAAGTGTGAACATGCTTGTTAATGAAACCAGTCTTAATCCAAAGAAAGGCACAGCCCAGCAGCTGTACAGTGCTTGAAGTGTTCCTGCAAAACAAGAGTGCCACAGGCTGCCTGGTAGGGCATTCTTTGGTGAAAGAGCCTAGAGGAGGTCTTCTTTGTGAAATTCTGCTTGGAGGCCTGGAGATTAGATGTATACGACGGCAAACACACAATTTGTTTGAAATAATTAGAGAAGTTTTTATGACGATGCTGGGAATTAATCTGACATTTCAGAAAAGAAAGAGGACAGGAGAAGATAAGTTGGGAAGGTTTCTGGAAAGAATAAAGCAGGACAGAAGTCATTAAGCCTCGTCCCCAATACCAGCTCTCTTCAACTAATCTTCCAATGCAGACCTAAGAGCAGGAGAATCGATCCACTAATTAATATTTATAATAACCTCACTCTTACCTTGGTATATCTTACTGCAGAACAACTATAGGTTCAATGTTGAAGATCGGGACCCGCTACAAGGTGAGTGCAATAGCAGGGCTGAATATATAGTAACATTGAGGATATTTAACCATATCCTGTTTTAGACCAGCTAGCACATCCTGACCCTGCAAATGAGTGACTTGCCTTAGTAACATCAGAGGTTAAAATGCCAGCAAATGTCTTCACTTCATGTCAGGCTCCTGACATATGTAAAACTGACTGCAAAAGCATATGTTATGAAAAAGAAAGTCTTTCTAATTAATAATTGCTTCCATAACAGAACACTTATAACCTGTAAACACTGTCTTGGGTAATTTGAGCACATATTTTTTATTCAATCTTCATTGCCATATGAAGTAGGAAAATTATCATCTCCACATCATAGATGATGAAGGCAGCTGAGGCTTCTAAACTTAGATAATTTGTGAAAGATCATATAGCTAGTAAGTGACACAGGGGCTAGGAGTCAACACCAGGCCTATCTCATGCCAATGCTCATGGCTTTAACCACTAAGCAAGCGAGGTCTGAAAGATGTGCAGATTCTGCAAACCTAACTTTCTTCCTGTTGTAACAAGGATGAGGTGGAATATAGTTGTTCATTAGAAACTGGCATCAGGGCAAAAGAAGGAAAAACACACATAATATGTCAGGGCTCCACCAGAAAAGCAGGAATTACCTATGTGTTTAAATCAGAGAAACTTTGATCCTGGCACATGTTTCCGTGGGTGATGGAAGAGCTGAGGACACACGCAGGTGAAGTTAGGTGACCCAGTTTGCTGCTCCCACCCTGAGGCTGGTGGAAGCTAAAACCAGGGCTGGTGGGAGCTGGTGCCACAGAATATATGCAAGGGCTACTGGGGAGGCTGCCCTGGGCAGAGAGAGGGGTGGAGAATCCTCTTGCCCCAACTCTCCTGCCATTTGCAGCTAACATGGACCCTCGGAAAGGGATTCTGCGTGAGTTGCGCCAAACATGCAGAGCAGAGCAGGCCATCGGTAGGGATGCATGTATGGGCAAACAGGGAAGGATTTGCATACATAGAATCAACACAGTTTCAGTTTTACCCAAACTAGTAAAAAAAAAAAAATCAATAAAACAAATACTTTGTCTCAGAACAACCATTAAGTGGATTTTGAAATGTCACAGTTTTAACATAGGAGCAGTTTTTACCTCTTCCTTTTCATATTTATTTTGCCCCTTTTTGTTTGGTTGGTTGGTTGGTTTTGGGTTTTTTGTCCCTCAGGAAGTTAAAATCAAACCAACCAACCTTCCTTATTAGAGCAGGTTTACTTAAGTTCATAGACTAATATTTCCCACTTGCTTGTCAATGGACAAGCCCATCTCGCCCTATCATTACATCTGTCACTTAAATCTCTCATGAAAGCTCTGCATAAACAAGCTCTACTATAAATGGAACTTTCAAAAATACGTTTAGAGTCAAACATTATAATATAGATGCTGTCAGCTAGTAGAGCTATTTAGTAAATTTGAACATTAGGAGGTTAAGTGGCATTCTTTTATAAATTTCATCAGCAGGAAACATTTGGCAAAAATCTCTGTAGCAATATGTGGTGACAAAACCAAGCCAACGAATCCAAAGTGTTCCTCTCAGACCTGAGGCAGGAGTGGAGGTGACATAGCCAGGACCTAGGGGCTGGAAGCCAAAGAAATAAGAGCTGAAGAATCCAATTACCACACTCTGGAAGTTGTTCTGGCTAAGATTTCCAGTGACTTCCACATTACCAAAGCTAACAGGCAATGCTCAGTCCACATCTCATTGACCTTTTTTGCAGCATTTGACAGCGGCTGATCAACCCTCTCAACTGAAACACTTTTCTTCACTTGGCTTCTGCACACTCCTGCTTTTCTCCCACCTCACTGGTCACTCCTTCTCAGTCTCCTGTGCTCCTCATCTTGCTGATCGTCAAACACTACAGTGGCCCAGGACTCAATCTTTGAACCTTTTCTCTTTTCTAGCTACACTCATTCCCTAGGTGATCTCAATTAGTCTTAAGATTTTTGATACTGTATATGATGGTTTAAAAAACATGTCACAAATTCTTCAACACTCCCGTTGAGAGGTCGGGTCTGTATCCTCTCACCTTGAATCTAGGCCAATCTTGGTGACTCGATTGTAACAAAGAGAATTCAGGAGTGACTGTTTAACTTCCCAGGCTGGGCCATAAAAAGACATGCAGCCTCAGCTTGTCACATAGAACACTGCCACTAGAACCCTACACTGCTTTGTAAAATGTTCAATTATTTTAAGTTCAACTGTGCTAAGGATGCTATGCTAGTA